ATAAAGTCTTTAGCCAAAGCATGATGAATTTGAGGAAATCTAGTTTTCTAAATTCATAAGGTTAGTCATAAATTGTGAGAACTAATATGGAATGTCATAAGTAGACACCAAGCTATGCTTAATGACATATTTGGGATATTTGATGAAAGGACCATATTGCACTGAGAGGGTTATCATTGAAGGGCTTTGTCAAATTTTTTAATTGACTCTTTAACATTTGGGTGGTCATGATATATTGCTAGATGCCATTCATAATCTATAAATATAAATTAATTATCAAATTGATATTTGATTACGACTTATATTTATTGCCAACATGTTAGAAGCCTAATGGGTCACACACATTAAGTGATATGATTAGGATTTAATAAGTATAATTAATTAAGTTGCATTAATTGAAAGAGACCAAAATAAAGTGAAAAATTAATTAAGTTCTCAGAGACTTAATTAAATTAAAATACAATTATTGTATTTAGGGTTATAAATTAGTTTGCCTATATAAATAAGTTATATTAGCAAACTAAAAACTTGAAGCCTTTAACCACTTTCCAGCCATTTCATAAAATAAGAAAAGAAAAATAGTTTTCTTTGTCTGACAAAAATAAGATTCAATAAGAATTTTGGTTTTTTTGTTTTAGAAACAAAGTTTGCTACCACAAGTAAAATCCTACCTTGGAGAAGGTCTTATTCAGTCACTGTGTGGATTGCTGTTAGAGGCCAAATAATTGGGTGGCTGAAGATTAGACAAATCTTAAAGGTGAAGAAGCAAATATTTTGGATTTAATTGGCTCTTGATTACGATATCTAGAGCAAGGTATGTAACTCTTAAACCTATGAGTGTTTATAATTTATTTGAAAGTTGCATGAAAAATACAAACATTGATCTTATAGGATTTCACTATCTCTTTGATTAAATATTATTTTATTTTTCCGTTACGTTATATATTTTAATTTTTGATTATTTTTCATGTTTAAGCATTAGGTTGAATCCTAGCACTTACATTTTTTGACATTCCAAAAACAATTGCATATAACAAAATAGCTTCATCCCTTGTCACGTCACTAATATGTTTTATAAGAAGTAAACTCCTAGTCAAAAAATGATACCAAAGTTTATGAATAGTCTTCACTCTTTATGGTACTAGCCTTAAAAGACATAAGTATGCCTTTAGTCATTTTTCATTCAGCCCCTTTGTTACAAAGCACTCCAAGAACCCTAACCAAACCAATGTTACTAGTCAAGAATCGACCATACTCATCAATGTCAATATACGGTAAGTTATAGAATTGATTGATCGTTGGATTGTCAAAGTGTACTTGACATCTTTGAACAAAAACCTCTCCTTTCATGTGTTCGATAGCATTGGCATAAAATTCTCAAGTAGCAGTTCATAGAACTACCTTAGGTTGTTCACAAAATTTCTGCCATTGTTGTTCAGTGATAACCTTATGAACAAAATCATATAGCTCAAGGTGGAGATCAATGCCACGTTTTGGAATGGGGACTTTATGCATTACTGATTGAGTATGTTTCTCATCCTCATCAACAAACTCAAATTTGCTTTGATCAAATTGAGTTCCACTTCTATTACCCTATGTTCTTTTCTCGGGTGCCATCTCTTACTCATAAATACAGAGTCAATATCCCAAAATAAGCAACCACATCCTAATTAGATTAACCATGAAGTAATAAGATCACTATTTGCACACATACTACATTACCCACAATTTCAATGCAAAGGCTTAGTTTTATGTTCACTATTCACCCTTATCTAACAAATAAATTCACCATAAAGCAATGTAAAAGTAATTAAAAGCCAACATATCTATCTTAATCTTGGAAAAAATCATTTATCCATTCATCACCAATTTCAATTCATCCACAATATTTAAAACTAACAAATTGGAAAATACATAAAAGAAAGACACTTACTTGAATTGGGAATGAAGAAAAATTAGAGGATCATGTTATGGTGAAATCTTCCTTGCCATAAAATAGTGATTTAATGCAAAAATTTTGTGATGGATTTGTAGTGGTTGGAAAGTAGAGAGGAAATCCTATTTTAGAGAAAGAAAGAACCCTAAAAGATGAGAAAACATGGAAAAAGTAGCTCAACAATTCACCGACTATTTACCCCTTATAAAGAGTTTACAAGATTTTACATGTATTCTATCGATAGCCATTACAACGCTTGAGATGAGGACATTCCTTTCCTAAAAGGTCTTTCTACCTAAAGACTTAACAAGTATTTTTAAAGATGTCACCACGGGCCATTACAAAGTTTAAAAGAGAGACACTTCCCTTACAAGTACAAAAGACTCAATTTTTTAGACTACTCTACCTTATCATAGTTGGATACAAGGTTGGCTCATGACACATAATGTAGTAAAGTAACCAAGTTAAATACTTGCCTTTCAATCGGTTAATAAATGGCAATTAGTCCTACGTCTCAAAAAAGTAGATCATATTCACAAGAGTCTAAGGTTGTAGTAAATATAGAAAGACCGATGCAATGTTTAAGAGAGATTTTTGGCAAAAGTTATCTTTAACAGGGTACTAACTGAAAGAATGAAATCAATCTTTCATTCATCAATTAAAACCAATATCACTAAAAAAAAAGTACGTTTTGATGCCTATAAACTTTGAATCCTTTGCAAAATAGCACAAGCAATTTGATTTGTTTGATTTGGCCCATCTTTTTACAATTTAATAAGTGAAATAAAAGGCTATAACATCTTCCTGCTCTTTGTCACTTAGCTTGCTTAGTTAGAAAATTCTTAAGATTAAACTTTCAAGCATGGTCAACTCAAGAAATAAATTAGCTATTCTTACTCTCCCCTTCTTTCTCTCGTTCTAGCTTTCTAAAACAGTAAAGAAGTTAATCTGTCGGGGGATATCAATTCAACTACTTTCTTGGACTTTTGGAGATTGGAACAGTGATTAGAGAATAGATTCAGTAAGTGTTTATTGTTCTATTTACGTGCAATGTTTGTCTTAGTTGAATAAGTCGAGATTGAATATGATTGATAATATTGTATAAAAAAAAGAGCTCTATCTTGATTTGCAAGTTTCAAGTGTGAGACATTTCAAAATCCGCCTTTTTGATAGTAAATTGAATGCCACCTTTCGCCCTGAGCTTGCAATAGCCAATTAGAAGTTCTTGTTTTCTCTTAAAGGCTTTTCCAACCTTAACCTTCTTTTTTCTCTGGCTCTAGATCTAAGGATTAGCAGGTTGGCTTAATAAAAACTTACTTAGTATATGAAATTATATCCCTAACGAATTAAGGGAATGACTTATCATCTAACCTTGCTTACTTCTAAAACCTCGCTTTGAACTTCCTTACTTGAGAATGGGGGATTGACTTATGCTAGAACGAAAGAATATAGCTTATTAGCATCGGACTCTTGTTATGAAATTCTCTATCCCATGGTATTAGATGACTCTCAAACTCGGCTTATGATAGATCTAGTACTAGATGGGATTTGCTTTTTGAAGTCCTTTCCCTTTGGCTGTCTTACTTGCTTACCTAGGAATTATTTACTAACTACTCTACAACATAACCTTGAAGCTCCGGGTTCAATTACTTATAGGTGAAAGAGCATAATTTTGTGAGTGAAAAATCAAATATTATATTTTTGGTTATATTTAAATTATTTATATAGTTTATAATTATAGATAAAATTTAGAAATTTTAATATTATAGTGTACAAGAAAATATAAAATTTTGCTTTTTTATCCAAAATGGAACCCATTAACCGGATTAGATGTTTCGTTGTCCAAGTGTGGTCAATTGTGATCAATTTTCTTAAAAAGTTTGTTTCATTCGATTTCAAGTAGAACGAACCGTCCTGATCCAACCGCCTAGGCGTGTAAAAATGATTGTGGCTTGTGAGAAAGAAAACCCCTAAAAAGTCTAAAACCCTCCCGAGTTCAAGCCTTTGAAACAAACTGCTAAAACTCAGAGCTCTCGGACTTAATTCCCAAATCAAATAGCTGAAACCCACAACCAAATTCAAACGCAAAACGCCTATTCTGATGATAAGTCCAAATGAAAAAATCCTAAAGTATTAGGAGTAATAATTCGGTGAAACCCTAAAAGCAAAAACCACCTTGAGTATTGATTTGGTCCCTTGTCTTGAAAATGTGAAGGATGCAAATTGTAAGAGGAGGACGGATATTCTGCTTCAAGCAATCCGCAGCTCCTGGTTAGTCTTTCTTTCTTTCCCCTGTACAGATTCAGTTTTGGTAAATGTGTAAAACTTGACTGATTCCATTCTACAGCAACGTTGTTTGCTGAGGCAAGAAATATAGTGCGGCGTGGAAGATCATACGCCGCTTCTCTTCCTTCTGACTCTCCAAAGCGCAAAAGAGTCTCAAAGGATGAACGACGAGCTATGATCGAATCTTTCATCACTAGGTCTTGTGTTTTTTCTTTCTTTCTTTTTTTCTTTTATACATAATATTTTTGCCCTTCTAGTCTACCCTTTCCTATTTCGTATTTTGTTGTATCATTCCAGAATGCTGTTGATCCACTGAGTTTGATGAATAAGGAGTTTGCTTTAGACCAGATTTTGAGTGTGTTATTTGTCGAAGATTAGTGTGGAGTTGCTACAAATAATGTTGAGAATTGCAATCATTATTCCCTTGATGTTTCTCAAATGGGTGTCCATCTCTTGTGGAGCGAATGATGATGATTTATTTCTCCCTTTGTTTCTTTATTCTTTTGAATAAATACCAACTTCGAGCAAAACCTTTTCATGGCCAAAAATTTTAGGGCTCTGTTTGCTATCTGCTTTTTGTTGTTTGCTTTTTGCTTTCTTAAAAGAAATAATAAAATATCACTCTGTTGGTCCTGGTCTATCAATTTTCATTAAACAAGTGGAAAACTACGATTGTTGTCTTAAACCTGATTATCACTCTTGAAAAGTTAGTCCAGTTTGCTTATTTTGTGATTCTAATTCATTAGTTTGTTTATTAAGACTGAAGATTTTTCCATTATCTTTTTTCCAGGTATAGATCAGTAAACGCCGGGAAATTCCCATCTGCATCTGCAGCTCAAAAAGAAGTGGGTGGCTCTTATTATGTTGTTAGGAAGGTTCTTCAAGAGTTGGAGTATAATTCTAAAGTATGCTCCTCAAATAGCAGTTTCGAAAATTTATCTGGAAAAGTTGTCAATAAAGAGGAGAAATCATTTTCTGAAGTTCAAGTGGTCTCGACTGCTGTCAGAGTCCAAAATGACACTTGTACAGAAGCTATAGATGATGTGAAGATGCTTGATTCTGATGACAAACAACTGGAGGCTGAGGGAGTGTTGCGAGTATATTCTTCAGAAGAGGAGACATTTTCCAAAGGGGTTCTAAAGCCCCAAACTCCAGTAAGTGTGATAGGCTTCAGCTTTGATGATAAATGCAGAAATGTCAACAGAGTTTTATCAGCTGTTAGTTTCAAGGAATATTTGGCCCTAAAAGTGGTGTTGAAAACAAATTTTATTGGAGTTACAGCTGTGACCAATATGGATTCCTTTTCTTGCACTTTCCTACTTAAATACATGAACTTTGTGTTTAGACACTCTCTCCTCCCTTTTGTCTTCCTGCCTGCAATCAGATGAAAGCATTTATGAACTTTTTTCCTTGACATAATGCATAAAAAGAATGCCTCTTAGGTATATCAATGAGACCACGAATCACCTAATATACCAGAATGTCTTTTGGCAGTCATACTATTGTTGTGCCCCTAACCTCTCTTATTTTCTGCCATTGCTTTACAGGACAAATCTGCGAATTGCTGTCTTACTGTTCAATTTAATTTTTAAGAACTTAGCTCTTCTAGTCTTTTTTTTTTTATATAAAGTTTATTTCACTGGTGCAATAGTGGAACCTTTTTTAAATTCCTGTTATAATCTAATTTGTTTTTTAACTTTCAGGGTAGCCATTATGATTTTGTTTTAGAAGAAAATATTGTGTTGAAAGATGATGCTAAGAGTCTTGAAAAACAAGAGGATGCTAAAGTAGAGGATGCTGGCAAAGATAGTTATGATAAATTTCAGATTGTTCCAGACAAACAAAAAAGTGTGGAAGTTTCTGATCAACACCTTGAATCAGCAGAGGAGTGTAAAACTGAGTCTCATGGTGTTCAGTCGGATTTTGTTGGAGTAAAAGGTGACCTAGTAAAAATAGAAACTGAGGTTGGACATGCAGAGGGTGATGAAAAGGAACAAATTGCATCTGAAGAGTTACTAAATTCTGGTGGTCCAGAGCTTAAAGCTGAGCACCATAGACAATCCTCAGAAGAGGAAAAACATGCAAGGTAAGTGTTCATTTCCCCAACCAATGCTCAATTGTTGAATGGGTGAGGTTGCTATAGATCGTATATTTGTGAATCAAAGGATGATGGTGTTGACATTAGTCACTTTTCTGGGCTGATTATAATGAGGTTGGAACAGCTCCTAGGTTTGACTATTACAGTCAAATAAGGATGATGATGATTATAATAGTGCTGTCTACAATTCCTGTCTGTTGGGATCAGGGTTCATTTACCTGAGACCAAGCCTAAGATAACTTCCTCTTCATGTTATTGTTTGACCTTTTCCATACCTACACATCAGGTAGAGGCATGCTTGATGTTTTTTTTTCTCTTAAATGGCTAGAAAATGTTTTGTTTTTTTTATTTGCTCAGAATAGCAAGAAAATGTCTGCACATGTTCATGCATCATGCATGTATATTTTCACCATTAGCTTGACCGCGAATGTCACATTTTACCTTTGTTCATGTAAACGACAATATTTATCATTGTTGTAACTCAACATATATGCTAATTTAGTTTTTCTTTTTTGTTTATATACTTTTTGGAAGTATTCCAGAAAATTTTGTTCATATTCTTATTTGTATCTTAGGCATAATATTGGCATGAATTTGATTGCTTTGAAGTAATTATATGCTTGATAACTTCTCGCTCTCTATTTTGTTTCAATTTGTATTTAAAATTTTATAGATGAATGACACCACGTATGGGCATGTGTGATGCAGTGCATCAAAGGAGAATGAACTGTATTGAAATTTTGGGCATATTGTATGTGTATTATTGCAAATTGATCTCCATATCTCTTTTTGTCGTACTTTTTGAGTGCATTTGCAGATTAGACTCTAGGTATGCAATTGAAACCTTACAACTTACACTGTAGCTCATAAATGGACCTAAGTTTGGCTTATGCTGTTTCTGGACCCATTATATATAGCATTTCTTTTTTCCATTTGAATGATTTTTAATTCATTTTTTCCCTTTTTGTATTTCTGTTAATTATGAAAATTGTCTTGCCATTTGACTATTTATGAGTCAGTGGATGATATGAAATATTCTATTATCTAGGAACTTCTTGAGTGAACAGAGTGATGATGCAGAATTTTCAAAGAAGTCAACTCTTTGGGGGAACCTTAAGTCATTTGCTGATGGTATCATCAATATGTGGAGAAAGCTATGAATTCTTGTTGGCATCACTGGGAGAAAGCTGTAAATTTTTGTCAGGGCTAGGTTTAATTGAACCTCTCTGCAACCTAAATGTTGTTGGGCAAAGATAATGGTAATATATGTCAACAATGGATGATTTGCTCCTCGCCTCCTATCCCTCTCTCTCCCTCTGTGCTATTGCTAGTGAATCTTAATTATATGCCCTATGCCCTTCAATCAGTAAACTGTTAGAAAACATAAAAGTATTCTTTAGTAACTGCAGTGGGCGTTGGTGTCATCATTTCTTTGATTGATGGTTTGCGGATATAAGATTCCCTACACCACTGGAATTGTCATGTGAAAGAGAGAAACGAAAGGCATGGGAATTTTGTTGAAGGTTCAAGTTTTTCCTCCTCCTTAATGATTTTTTCAATGACTTTGCTGCATGAATGCTTAAGAAGTTATTGTAGAGAATGAATACACCTGTATGTGTCCTATGCTTAGTTATTTATTTCCAGAAAGCGTGTGAGTTGGATATGCATAATTCTGTTACTACATTGTCTTTTTGAAAGGGGGTTCAGGGTGCGTGGGAAGACTTAGACTTTGCTTGGTAGGTTGGATAGAAAAATACAAGGATGAAAAAGTGAAAGTGGAGAAAACTAGAAAGATGAATATATATATTTCTTACCATTGGTATGCTTGGTAGGAAATATGAAAAAAATTAATTTTCTTTTCATCCATTATTTGGTTGAGTGAAAAAATGGAAGGAAAGAAAATGAAAATTATTATTTTACCATTATGCTCTTTCTAATTTATCATAACGTAAAATTTAAATAATTGGTTCGTAATTTATTTTGCTTTCTTTCCAATTTATCGGAAGGAAGTATGACACCTCTTCCAAAATGTAAATTTTCACTTTGAAAACACATTTTTGATCTAGATCTCTTTCTTATGAACGTGTACACTTCTAAACTTGAGGTTTGAACTTTTTCAAAGCAAGTTTTCAAAAATCTTTAGACTAAAAACACAATTTATTCGCTCATCAAGTAAGATTTCACTTAAATGGTCTTCACCTAAAGTGAAGGGTTTCACATTTAATACGTAGACTCCAATAAGTCATTAATTAATTCAAAATAATATGTGTTAAACATTAAAATCCTAACAATAAGAGTTGACCGTATTTCCATTAGGCTTTTGAAATCCAAATCCTTTTTACCATGTCAAGAATGCCATGCATCTACTTTACCATAGATTAAGTAGGCACATCTTTGTCCTTTATTAACTAGCTAAGTCTTTCAACTTAACATAAATTCTAGACAAGTATTTTTCCTCGAGGACGTGCGTACTCCAATCTTTGAAATCATTAAAATAATTCTAATACTTTTTATATCTAAGGTAATATCAAAGCGTTGCATAACTATCATATACAAAATCAACTACTAATTTGCATTAGTCTACATTTTAACTCCTTAATTGACTACTCGTAATTCATCGAGTTCATCGTCTAAGGTTGCACCACAACTAGATGAGAATATACAACATCTTAAAAACAACATACATATTTTTATCTCTAGTTGTCAACGCTTTAGCAATTTTAGTAATCCTACCACGTCTATTAAGGCCACTAGAATTGAAAATACACAACATTGTTAGTGTTTCATTTGGAGTCTCCTGCTCCAAATTTTCTCTAGCAACGGTTTGAGTCCAAATTGGCATCCTCACCTAGACAAAAACAAACATCCAACATGGATCCAAATTACAAGGAACATCAACACATCCATCTCATCTTTAGGAAACCGATCCTCCACATAACCACTAGTGAGCATCACTAACCTTACTAATATTGCGCCTTGCCGCTCCTACCACAACCTTTGTCTGTGGGTCTACGTGGTCTGGTAAACGTATCTGCAGGAGCAACTTGCTTTACTGTGTCTCCAGCAATTGCTTGAATTCTAAGTGGCACACTCTTAAAATCATTAGCAATCACATGCTACAAGACTCATTTCTAATGACACATAGCAATACTGGACACACTATGTTAGTTTTATAGCTTTCAAATTGATCCTATCTTTTGAAATGATAAAGAGAAATGATCAAAATTCCTTTGAAAAGTTTTTGAACATGTCTAAAGTTCCCTTGATACGTTTAAACAACTAACAAAGTGTTTGAAAAAGATAAACAATTAAAAAGACTTTCAAAAATAGTTTCTGGACAGAATTTATCAATACATGTTCATCATGTATTGATACATTTGTCCAAGTATTGATAAAAATAGAAATCTCTTGATACATGTTATTCAAAAAGCCAAAATTCTTAAAAGTCAAACTTCATGTATCGATACATTGTCAAAATATATCGATAGATTTGGAACAGAATGCTTTTAATTCTAAATTGAGCTAAATGTATCGATTCATTGTCAAAATGTGTCGATAGAATTTAAATAGAATGTCTTGAATTTTAAACTAAGCTAAATGCATCGATACATTGTCAAATGTATCGATAGATTATCATAGGTTTTCAAATTTAATGCAGCTAATGTATTTATACATTCTAAAATGTATCAATACAATGTGACTGCTGGAGCAAAAGATTGAGAGCAAAATAGCTATTTTTGCATTTAATGCACCTTCGACCGCCCCCAAAGGTTCTAGCACTAGAAATACAATTTTCCACCTCATTTATGAAGACAAGAAGACTTTAAAACACAACTTCAAGGGAGGATTAAAGCCTCAATCATTTATTTCTCATTTACTCCTTTACAATTTAAAGTCTTCAAGTGTAGCATTTATTTTGAGCTAAAGATTCTTTCTTCTACACACATTTAATACTTGTATCAATGTGCACTTACTTTGCTCATCAACCTTTAAAAGCCATTCAAGCTTTCGTTCCCTTATCATTATAATAGATATTGGTTATACCTTAACCATCTTAAAGGTAGAATTGCTAGTTAGACCTTATGCTAGGAACGGCATGATTAGAGCATCAACATAGCAAAATAACAAAAATTGAAATAAAAAATCATGCCTTTTATTTTTGGATCACCTTGGTTATTTTATGCAAAGTTAAGCACCACATAAAATCATAATAAAAAAAATTTTACCTTTCCAAGTGATATCGTAATCAAATGGATTCTTTTTGGTGACAAAACGTGAACACCTTTTGTGTGAAAGAATCCCAGCCTCCCAATCGCTTGGCCTCCAATGATGCACACACGATTGCAACAGATCCTTCACAAGGAGAGAGCTTTATGCCACGGGCTTGTGCTAGCAAGTGGACAACGATTTGTCCTCTTTTCTTCTTTGATTTCCAACAAAGAATCAAATGAGAAGTTTTCAAAAAAATAAAAAAGTAAACTTCTCAAGAGTGGCAACACTCAAGAGAAAAACCTTCTTTTTGTTTCCTTCCCCTAAAAAAAAGAGAGTGGCTATAATGTGATATTTATATCTAGGTTTAACTTATTAAAATTTGTAAAATAAGTCCTTAATATTATAACAATTATAATATTTAACTAATACGTAATTAAACTCTTTTAATTGGGTCCTTAGTAGTTAAAACCTAGAATTTGATTCAAGTCTAACTTAAATCATCGCACTCTTAATTTAATCCAAATTGCAACCTTTGAGTGTGACTCATTAGGTTCCTAACATGTTGGCAATGAAATTTAATTATAATATTATTAATTAATTAATTTAAATGAATCATATTCAATTTTAAATTAACTAATTCAATTCCATAGACCATGATTGGCAGCTAGTAATGAATTATTGCTACCCAATTGTTAGGAGAGTCAAAGGATTCTTTGACTACCTTTCAGTGTAAAGCTTTTTAGTGTAATTCATTCCCTCATCATATATCTCAAAGATGATAAAAGCTTGGTGCAGTGCCTACTCTTATTGATCTCCATATTTGTTCTTGCAGTTAGATCATTAGCTTTATGGAGACTTATAAAACTCATTTCATAATCTCCTAATCACCTTGGCCAAGGATTTGATTAAGCTAATGTCAATCAAGAACAAATAAGATATTTCCCCTTTGAATCACTTGGGGTGATAATTCCTATCTTGACCACTCA